GTTAACATGGTCAGGCAGAGTGACTTGCACACAGGGAGGACTTTGGTGCAAATGGAGGTAGCTGCATTTAGCCAGGGAAGACTTCTGGAGGGTTCAGGACACTGGAAAGGAAGACAGACTCCACTTGGCCAATCTGAGCAAGATCAGGCCCTTGAGGGCTTGCTAGGCATTGGCTTTCACTCGGGGCTCAGATCTTCACTTTGTCATTTCTTGTCTGATCAAAAGCAATTGCTTCAGGCCCCTATCCAAAAGCAGACACATGTGAGAAGCAGTGTTAGTGTTTAGCATCATCTGGGCACATCTGGGCATATGGCAGGTGTTCAGCTAAGTATTTACGAAGTATTTTTTAATATTTTACTCAGTGCTGAGTCCTGTATTGGTCACTGGAAATCCAAAGATGAACAAGGCCCAGTCCCTGCCCCGGCCAGGATGAGACAAGCTCTCTAGAAAGACACCGATGAACAGCTGAAGCCACAGGCCTGGCCCAGGCCAGACAACCTGGAAGTCTTTGGGGAAGCGGCACTATCTGACCTATTGGGTTAGCAGTAAACCTGTTCTTCCAACACAGGCTGTTTGTGGAACTCTAGGCTGTGCCTGTGTTTCATGAAGGAATTCAGGCCAGAGGGTGTGAGGGGCCAGATGCCCTGAAAGCCCTGTCCAGCCCACGGCAGCATGTCCTTGCTCACGGGGACTCAGCTGTGCCTCCCACCTGCTTACAGAGGGTCTGTCACTGACCACAACTCTGTCAGAAGATCTGTAGGGCACAAGTGAGCCTTCACAGCTGGGGACTTTATCTCATTCTGGGGACTAGAAGTGAAAGTGCAGAAACTCCTCCCAGGGCCCAGGACCCGCCCCAGCACAGTGTGGGGCCCCTGCCTAGAGTCTAAAAGCTCAACATTTCCTGTGGCCAAGCTTCAGCCTCCTGTGCTTTGTGTGCTTTGTCCCTCCCACCTAAATTAGAATCTCTTTCTTCCAAGTTTAACCATCCACATTTTCCCCATCTTTCAAGGCCCAGCTCAAACAAGCATTTCCTGACTCCTCTGTGGAATTAGTCTCCAGACTCCTTTCTCAGCATGTTCCCCCAGGGAACAGCAACATGTAAAGTGTAAGTGCAGGATGGAGAGAAAGGAGGCTGGGAAGATTGGGTGGGCCAGATTATGACAGGGCTGAAAGGCCATTGGCTGAATTTCTGCAGTAGGGAGCTGCTGAGGGAGAGTTCTTGACAGAGAGGCCTAGTGACTTAAGCAATGGAAGAGATTTATCTCCCACAATGAATGGTGGGGATGGGATGAAACTGGAAACCTAGAAGCAAGGTGATTTGGAGGCAGTTAAAGGATTTCATCAGCTTCCCCAAATGCCAGTAGAAACGTGTTTCCAGTTTGTGACTGTTTTGAATAGTGCTGCCATGAACATTCTCATGATGTGTCTTAATGCGTAAATGAATGTACTGGCATATACCTAGCCATGAAAATCTTGACTTGTTTCTGCCATTTTATTAGATGTATATCCATGGATTTCTGTTTTGTTTGGATTATTCTTCTTATCTTTGTGGTACTGATTGAAATTGACTTCATTGTATTATTCCATTAGGTAGGTAGAATATAATCACCTTTTTTTGTGTATAAAAAAAAAAAGTGTGTATCAGATTTACATCAGGAATTTTGCAAAAATATAAATTCTGGGGCTCTTTTCCATAGATTCTGTTTTAGTGGGTCTGGAGTGGGGCTAGAACCTGTGCTTTTGACAGATGCCCCAAGGCATTTTGGAAGAGGGGAGAATGGACTATTCAATACAGGTGTTGGGACAACTGGCCAGCTATAGTGAAAAGAATTGTTTTATCTGTACCTCACTCCTTGTATCAAATAAATGCCAGATGAAGCCAAGATGGCAATGGAAAAGAAGGAAGTGAGGAAGGGACGAGAAAAAATAGATTGTAAAGGAACTCAAAGGAAAACTGGGTGACATTCTAAAAAATAATCTTGGACAGGATTATTAAGTCATAAAGGGAAAGTTTGATGATACATTTTTCTGTATTTTGCCAAGTTAAAGACTAATGATAAATAGGGAGAAAATACTTGCAGCTTGTATATAAAGGACTGACATTCTCGATATTATAAGAGTTTATGTAAACCAATAAGAAAAATATAATCCATTGGAAACATAAACAAAAGATATGAAAAATAGTCTGAATGAAATGATTGGTTAATGAGCTAATGCAAAAATGCTAAGCCTCACTTGAGATAGAGAAACAGATTGTTAAAATAAGATGTTTGTGTGGTAGGCTGAATAATGGCCCCCAAAGATATTCATGTCCTAATCCCTGGAAATAGTGAATGTGTTGCCTATTATCAAAAAAGGAACTTGGTAGATGTGATTAAATTAAGGATCTTGAAGTTGGGAGGTTATCCTGGATTAGCCAGGTGGACCCAGCATAATCACAAGAGTCTTTATACATGGAAGAGGGAGACAGAGGAGTTAGTATTAGAATGATTCAATGTGAGAAAGATGTGGCCAGCCATTCCTGGCTTCAAAGATGGAAGAGGCCATGAACCAAGGAATGCAGCAGCCTCTAAAAACTGGGAAAGGCAGCAAATAAATTGTCCCCTGGACCCTCCAGAAAGAAGAGTGGTCCTACTACTACCTTGATTTTAAACCCAGAGAGACCCATTTCAGACTTCTAACCACTAGAACTGTAAGATAATAAATTTGTGTTAAGCCACTGAATCAGGGATAATTTAGCAGTAATAGGAAACTAATACGACCTCTTTAGCTTTCTTATTAGTAAATATTAAAGAGACTGGCTATATTTCAGGTAGGTGGGAGTTCAGGGAACCAATCCTTACACACTATCAATGGGAGTGTAAATTTGTGCTGGAAACAACTTTCATGTCCATTAATAAGGGACTGACTGCATTTGAGTACAGCCAAAAATACTTCGCTGCTGTCCCCAGAAAGAGTGAGACAAACCTAGATAGCACACATAGGTTTAAAAAAAAAAAGCAAGTCACAGATCAGGATGCACGATATATTATTTTCTTCATTTATGTAAAAAAAAATCCAGTACCTACATAAATGCATTGGGATGTTGGGAAGAGCATATTACATTGACCACAACTCCTCTGAGGAGGGGCATGTAGGGATAGGTGGATTCAGGGAAAAGAGCAGAGGGCAGTAGACTTCTACAGTGGTTTGAACTTTTTCAAGTACCGCTTAACAAATTTTTTTTTCAAAGAAGAAGACTCTCTGGCACTTCCTTTCCATAGTTGGTTTTGGGAACTTCTAGCCTAGACAAAATGACTGGTGTGAATCCAAACCCCTGTAGTGGAGCACAGAGGGGAGGCAGGAAACAGAAACAACTAGGGGGCTGATGACATGGCTGGGGTGGGGGTGGGGTGGCATAAATTGTTAATACACTCCAAGGTCTCCTGGGTTTCACAGATTCTCCTACACCTGCACCGGTGGTCCTAGCTGCCCCCTCAGCCCTGTTGTGATGTGGTGGAGCAGTCTAGCAGAGGGCACTAAGCCAGGAGTCCAAGTACCAGTGTGGCCCCGGGCTAGTCCCTCATCACCATGGCTCAGATGCTCTGTGCACAGAATGATGGCCTCATCAACTATGCTGTGACAGCCAACAGTGCTGCTGTGTGTCCTTGTCGCTCCTCCCTCAGAGGTGCTGGCAGAAGGTCCTCTCCCTGGAGGAACAGCAGATTTGGCTGAATGTTGTCCCCTGGCCAGCCATCAGTCACCTGATGATGCAACAGTCACCTGACTGTCTTCCTCACCCACCCTGCCCCTCCCACCTGGTCCCTGGGAACTGCACCCAATCCCAGCTGTTAGGTGCTTCCCCACCTGCCCCGGAGAGCCTGTGGCTGGGAGAATGCAGGGACTAAACAATTTAGGGTCCTCCTTGGCTAACTGACCCCTACTCAGACTGATTATTTCACACCCAGTCATGCCTCAGGGGCCCATCCACCCATCTGAAGAACACTAGCTAGTGTTTCGGGGATGCTTTGAGATCCTTGCATGAGAGAGTCAATAGAAATAGTAAGTATAGTCAATCCTTTATTATCCTCACACAGCACCCAAAGGCCTCTCCGGCACACAGGTGCTACCAGGTCCGGGAGACCCAGCCTAGCCCAGAGAACAATGCTCTGTGCTGCAGACCACAGCTGCCATGTCTGATCTTTAGGAGACTCAGCACTTCTGCCTACCTTGGCTTGGGTAAGCAAGGAAAGGCTGCAGAGCTGGAGGAACCTTCCAGAATGATCCTTGTGGTAACTGCTTGGATCAGTCAGGGGGTCAGAGCTGTACTAGATTGTGAGTTCACAGGCTGTGGCGATAGTTTGCAACAGGCTGGGGCTGTAGTTAGCAAGGGGGTAAAAAACAATGAATGATGTCCTTCCGAGACACTTTCAGAATCTAGGGCCAGAGAAAAATACTAACGTGAGAATAATTTACCCCTTGGAAAACTCACCCTTGAACAAGTCACAGGCACTTGCTCATGCACCAGCCATAGCACCATCTGGAGTTCATGAGGTGGCATCTGCATCCCCTGTTTTACTGGACCCACCGCAGCCCTGAGGCACAGTTGAGGCAGTTGTTATCCATTTTCTAGATTAGGCAACTGAGACTTAGAGAGCTCAACCCCACTAGGAGTGAATCAAATAGCTGAGACAGTAGCCTACACCTCCTGCCTCTAACTGCCCTGAATTTTCCAGAGCTCACCTGCCTTCTGCTCCAGCACCCCACACGGTCACAGTCCTCAGGAACACACTAGCATTCAGGTCACCCGATGCCCACAGGGAAGCAGGTGAGGGAAGGGTGGCAGCACTCGGGCACATGGAGTTGGGCCCTGTGGTTCTGGCTGAGTTTCCCTGTAAACCTTTGAGGGGTCTCAGCCAGGTGTGACACTGAGTCTGGGCTGTTCAGGCTATTGACAAGTCACAATAACTCTCTTCTCTTGTGTATATGTGTTTCTCTGTGTGTGTACTTTTGTCATGTAGAAGAAGAGTGTGAGTTCTCCTCCGAAACCTTTGATCTCCAAAACGGAACTAAAGGGGAGAAGAGGTTGGAGCTGCCCTCAGCATCCATCGTGGTATCTCTTGTGCCGGGACCAGGGATGCCTGGGCCATGGGCACAGACATCACCAATCTTCAACCATTCGCATAGCACACTGGGGACTCGTGGGGGCCACCTGACACTGCCAACTGGAACCGTACAATGGCAATACTGACATCCTTCATGACGTTTTCCCAACAGACATTCAGGCAGAAAGTGCCCGCGCGTTTTCTGTCTGCAAAGTAGAAGGCCATGCCTCACCAATATGAATAGCTAGGGCCCTGATGACCTGCTCTGAGTCTACCTGCAGCCAGTGAAACTTGCAAAAAAAACTCCCAGAGCCATCTTGGGTTTGGCTTCTGCAACTCTTGACCAATGTGGCCAAAGCGGGACCCCTCTTTGGGACGCTTGGGTCATCCGTGAATGCAGCCTGTCCCGACTGTCCCTGAATAGCATCTGAAGTCTCTGTGAAGGTCATGGATCCTGAACAAAGTGTCAAGAGCACCAAGAAGGCTGAGGGAAGTCCCCGGAAGCGGCTGACCAAAGGAGAGGCCATTCAGACCAGTGTTCCTTCCAACGTCCCATATCCCAGCAGCAGTGCAGCTGCCACCCAAGAGAGCCCCGCCCAAGAGCTCCTCGCCCCGCAGCCCTTCCCGGGCCCCTCATCGGTTCTTAGGGAAGGCTCTCAGGAGAAAACGGGCCAGCAGCAGAAGCCCCCCAAGAGACCCTCCATCGAAGCCTCCATCCACATCTCACAGCTTCCGCAGCACCCTCTTACACCAGCATTCATGTCGCCCGGCAAACCTGAGCATCTCCTGGAGGGGTCCACGTGGCAGCTGGTCGACCCCATGCGGCCTGGACCCTCAGGCTCCTTTGTGGCCCCTGGGCTCCATCCTCAGAGCCAGCTCCTCCCTTCCCATGCTTCCATCATTCCTCCTGAGGACCTACCTGGCATCCCCAAGGTCTTCGTGCCTCGCCCCTCCCAGGTCTCCTTGAAACCCACAGAAGAGACACACAAGAAGGAGAGGAAGCCTCAGAAGCCAGGCAAGTACATCTGCCAGTACTGCAGCCGGCCCTGCGCCAAGCCCAGCGTGCTCCAGAAGCATATCCGCTCACACACCGGCGAGAGGCCCTACCCCTGCGGCCCTTGCGGCTTCTCCTTCAAGACCAAGAGCAACCTCTACAAGCACAGGAAGTCCCATGCCCACCGCATCAAAGCAGGCCTGGCCTCGGGCATGAGCGGTGAGATATACCCACCAGGGCTGGAGATGGAGCGAATCCCTGGGGACGAGTTTGAGGAGCCCACCGAGGGAGAAAGCACAGATTCCGAAGAGGAGACGGGCACCACGCCTGCCCACCCCACAGAGCTCTCCCCCAGGCCCAAGCAGCCCCTCCTCTCCAGCGGGCTGTATAGCTCTGGGAGCCACGGTTCCAGCCACGAACGCAGTTCCTTGTCGCAGTCTAGCACCACCCAGTCGCTCGAGGAGCCCCCTCCATTTGTGGAACCCTCATCTGAGCACCCCCTGAGCCATAAACCCGAAGACACACACACAATTAAGCAGAAGCTGGCCCTCCGCCTGAGTGAGAGGAAGAAGGTGGTTGACGAGCAGGCATTCCTGAGCCCAGGCAGCAAAGGGAGTACTGAGTCTGGGTACTTCTCCCGCTCTGAGAGCGCCGAGCAGCAAGTCAGCCCCCCAAACACCAACGCCAAGTCCTACGCTGAGATCATCTTAGGCAAGTGTGGGCGGATCGGGCAGCGGCCTGCCATGCTGACAGCCCCCTCCACTCAGCCCCTCCTGCCCCTGTCCACCGAAGACAAGCCCAGCCTGGTGCCTTTGTCTGTGCCCCGGACACAGGTGATCGAGCACATCACGAAGCTCATCACCATCAACGAGGCCGTGGTGGACACTAGCGAGATCGACAGTGTGAAGCCCAGGCGGAGCTCACTGTCGAGGCGCAGCAGCATGGAGTCCCCCAAATCCAGCCTCTACCGGGACCCCCTGTCGTCCCACAGTGAGAAAACCAAGCCCGAACAATCACTGCTGAGCCTCCAGCACCCGCCCAGTACCGCGCCCCCTGTGCCTCTCCTGAGAAGCCACTCAATGCCTTCTGCCGCCTGCACTATCAGCACCCCCCATCACCCCTTCCGTGGTAGCTACTCCTTCGACGACCATATCACCGAGTCCGATGCCCTGAGCCGCAGCAGTCACGTGTTTACCTCCCACCCCCGGATGCTGAAGCGCCAGCCGGCCATCGAGTTACCCATGGGAGGGGAGTACAGTTCCGAGGAGGCTGGACCGAGCAGCAAAGAGGCAGCCTCCAAGCCCCCAGATGAACCGGAACCCAAGGAGAGTGAACTTACCAAAAAGACCAAGAAGGGTTTGAAAATGAAAGGGGTGATCTATGAATGTAACATATGTGGTGCTCGGTACAAGAAGAGGGATAACTACGAGGCCCATAAAAAGTACTACTGCTCAGAGCTTCAGATCTCAAAGCCCATCTCTGCAGGTGCTCATGCATCTCCAGAAGCCGAGAAGAGTCAGGCTGAGCATGAGCCGTGGTCCCAGATGATGCATTATAAACTGGGGACCACCCTGGAGCTCACGCCTCTGAGGAAGCGGAGGAAAGAGAAGAGCCTTGGGGATGAGGAGGAGCCGCCTGCTTTCGAGTCAACAAAAAGTCAGTTTGGCAGCCCCGGGCCATCTGATGCTGCCCAGAACCTTCCCCTGGAGTCCACCAAGTCACCAGCAGAACCAAGTAAATCGGTGCCCTCCTTGGAGGGATCCGCGGGCTTCCAGCCAAGGACTTCCAAGCCAGGGTCCAGTTCTGAATCAGGGAAGGAGAGGAGAACAACGTCCAAAGAGATTTCTGTCATCCAGCACACCAGCTCCTTTGAGAAATCTGACTCTCTCGAGCAGCCCAGTGGCTTGGAAGGGGAAGATAAACCTCTGGCTCAGTTCCCATCCCCGCCACCCGCCCCACATGGACGCTCGGCCCACTCCCTGCAGCCTAAGTTGGTCCGCCAGCCCAATATTCAGGTTCCTGAAATCCTGGTGACCGAAGAGCCCGACCGGCCAGACACAGAGCCGGAGCCGCCCCCTAAGGAGCCCGAGAAGGCCGAGGAGTTCCAGTGGCCCCAGCGCAGCCAGACGCTTGCCCAGCTGCCTGCTGAGAAGCTGCCTCCCAAGAAGAAGAGACTGCGCCTGGCAGAGATGGCCCAATCATCAGGAGAATCCAGCTTCGAGTCCTCTGCGCCTCTGTCCCGCAGCCCAAGCCAGGAAAGCAGTGTCTCTCTGAGCGGGTCCAGTCGCTCAGCCTCGTTTGAGAGGGACGACCATGGGAAAGCCGAGGCCGTGGGGCTCTTGTCTGACCCGCGCTGCAGACCCTTGGGCACCCACATGCTGACTGTCCCCAGCCACCACCCGCATGCCCGAGAGATGCGCCGGTCAGCCTCGGAGCAGAGCCCCAACGTCTCCCATTCTGCCCACATGGCCGAGACTCGCAGTAAATCCTTCGACTACGGCAGCTTGTCCCTGACAGGCCCTTCTGCTCCAGGTCCAGTGGCCCTACCGGCACCTGTGGCCCCTCCGGAGAGAAGAAAATGCTTTTTGGTGAGACAGGCCTCTCTGAGCAGACCCCCAGAATCTGAGCTGGAGGCCACCCCTAAGGGAAGGCAGGAGAGTGAGGAACTGCCACCCTCATCCAGTAAACCTTCCACCAAAAGCTCGTTGCCCCAGATCTCCCCCACGGCCACCTCGCACAGTGGGCACCCAGGAGGCAAGAACCAGGCACAGGACAGGCCCCCACTAGGGCCCACTGTGCCCTATACAGAAGCACTGCAGGTGTTCCCCCACCCCATTGCCCAGCCCCCGCTGCATGAGAAACCCTACCTGCCTCCACCTGTCTCTCTGTTCTCCTTCCAGCACCTCCTGGAGCACGAGCCAGCACCATCTTCAGAATTTTTCCCCACCCAGGCCATGTCCAGCCTCCTCTCCTCCCCATACTCCATGCCCCCACTTCCGCCCTCCTTATTTCAGACCCTACCACTTCCTCTCCAGCCTACTGTCCTGCACCCAGGCCAGCTCCATCTCCCCCAGCTCATGCCCCATCCAGCTGACATCCCCTTCCGGCAGCCCCCTTCCTTCCTCCCCATGCCATACCCTGCCTCCTCAGCACTCTCTCCTGGGTTTTTCCTGCCTCTGCAATCTCAGTTTGAGCTTCAGCACCCTGGCAGTGTGGAAAGCCATCTGCCCCCAGTCAAAACCAGCCTGACCCCACTGGCAACAGGAAGTACCGGCCTCTCCTCCAGCACAGAGTATAGCAGCGACATCCAGCTGCCCCCTGTGGTTCCCCCAGCCAGCTCCTCAGCACCCACATCAGCACCTCCGCTGACCCTGCCTGCCTGTCCAGACACCATGGTGTCCCTGGTTGTGCCTGTTCGTGTCCAGACCAACATGCCGTCCTATGGAAGTGCGATGTACACCACCCTATCCCAGATCTTGGTCACGCAGTCCCAAGGCAGCTCACCAACTGTGGCTCTTCCCAAGTTTGAGGAGTCCCCATCCAAAGGGATGACTGTGTGTGGGGCAGATGTGCATGAGGCTGGGCCTGGACCATCTGGATTAAGTGAAGAGCAAAGCCGAGCTTTCCCAACTCCATACCTGAGAGTGCCTGTGACACTACCTGAACGGAAGGGCACTTCCCTGTCATCAGAGAGTGTTTTGAGCCTGGAGGGAAGTTCATCAACAGCAGGGGGGAGCAAACGTGTCCTTTCACCAGCTGGCAGCCTTGAACTTACCATGGAAACCCAGCAGCAAAAAAGGGTGAAGGAGGAGGAGGCTTCTAAGGCAGATGAAAAACTTGAGCTGGTAAAACCGTGCAGTGTGGTGCTTACCAGCCCCGAGGATGGGAAGAAGCCAGAGAAATCCCACTTAGGCAGCCAGGACCAGGGTAGGAGGGAGCTAGAAATGCTGTCCAGCCTGCCCTCAGATCCATCTGACCCCACGGAAATTCCTCCCCTTCCTCAGCCCACATTGCCCCATGGGACAGCCCCAGGCTCAGAAGCTTTGAAGGAATATGCCCAGCCATCTTGCAAGCCTCACCGAAGAGGGATGCTCCCACTGAGTGTGAAGAAAGAAGACTCCAAGGAACAACCTGACCTCCCTCCCCTAGCACCTCCCAGCTCTCTGCCTCTGTCAGAAACGTCCTCCAGACCAGCCAAGTCACAAGAAGGTACGGACTCAAAGAAGGTACTGCAGTTCCCCAGCCTCCACACAACCACTAATGTCAGTTGGTGCTATTTAAACTACATTAAGCCAAATCACATCCAGCATGCAGATAGGAGGTCCTCTGTTTACGCTGGTTGGTGCATAAGTTTGTACAACCCCAACCTTCCGGGGGTCTCCACTAAAGCTGCTTTGTCCCTCCTGAGGTCTAAGCAGAAAGTGAGCAAAGAGACATACACCATGGCCACAGCTCCGCATCCTGAGGCAGGAAGGCTTGTGCCATCCAGTTCCCGCAAGCCCCGCATGACAGAGGTAAGTTCAACCTTGTGTTTATTCTCACCATTGATTTTTAAAGTCCTTGTTGAGCTTTTAAGGCCACTGTCTCCTTAGGTTCCATCTGCAGAACTAGAGCCAGATGAGTGGCAGATTTCCTCTCTGGCAGCAGTGACTAGTCACTTTATAAGGAAACGTGTTTATTGAGTTTCTTTGTCAGTGTGTCCCTCACATCATTGGAATAGATTCATTTCAATAAAGTTAGCAATACAGTGACCCTACTTTCCCTTGAGCCTAATTGTAAAATCAAAAATACAATCTTACCAAAAGAAAAAAATCATTTCCCCAAATGACTGAATTAGAGAAGTTTGCCAACTGGGATGCCTATAGTAATTTTAGAACTTTATACTCTCCTTCATTATATGGTTCTCCCTTGTCATGTTAGTCTTTTCCTGCTTTCCTTATTTTCTACATATCTGCTGTTTTCATTATCTAGTATCTTGAAATCTTCCCACTTCCAGAGATTCTGGAATTTTACTCAAACAGTTCCTGAAATATTCCTTCTTTCTTGTCTGTGAGTAGGATAGCAAATAGAGCTGAACTGCAGTATCCCTCTTTACCAGTAGATGTCAGTATCACTCACAGTCTGACCCATCGATGCTAAATATTAGCAGCAAGTCCTTGCTAAGGGCTCCCATTTATCCTTCATTACTGCTGACCTGAAACTACATCAGGAGCTATGAAATGAACTGCCCCCTGAAAGTTCAGCAAGTTTGAAATGGGACCATTGCAAATCTACTTCAGGCAAAAGATGCCTTCGTATCCTGACAAGGCCAGCCTAGGGATTCAGTTCAGGATGTGTCATGCTGACTTGGCATTTGTGGAAAAATGATTGATCGTGTTTACTAAGCAACTTCACAGTGTGCTAGACCCTTGAAATCCAGTCAGTGCTTACCCCCACCTGTAGAGTAGCATTACCATCTCCATTCTATGAATGAGGAAACTGAGGATCAGAGGCTGAGAGAAGTCAAGGTCACATGGCAAACGTTGGACAGACCCAGAATTTGAATGCAGACCTGTCTGACTTCAAAGAGTCTATTTTTCTTCTTTTAATTATCTGATTAAAGAACACCATAAAATGTGACTGCAAATGTAAAGATGCTTATTAGTGTGAATTCAGACCAGAAACTCCTGACCAAATCAGGCATAAATTCCCTAAACTAAACCATATTGTAGGTAAGTGAACAAAATAGTTCTATAACCTCTCATATATTCATATCTTCCTTTTTGTCATTTAGTAAGTTTCATGCATCGAATTTATCCTTAGCTTAGCTGGATATTCTTAACAGAGCTGTTTTCCAGATTTATGCTCTAGATGTCTCTGCCAGTCTGCAGACATCCCTGACCAAGATTTTCACTTTTGCCATAAACATCATACTAATTCACTCGCCAGTGACTCTTACTAGCTGTGGTCACTTCCAAGATACCATTGTGATTATATTCATACTTATAATTTTTGGGGTACCTACTATGTGTCAAGTACTTTACTTTTATGCTTACAACCACCTTGAGAGTTAGGATGCAATATCACCATTTTACGGATGAGGAAACCAAAACACAGAGGTCAAGTAACTTGTGCAAGGCCACACAGTAAACGGCAGAGCCTGTATTCAAAAGTGTATCTCACTCTAAAGGCCTTTTTGGATTATCTAGCCTGCCTTTATTTTTTAATAACTGAAAAATGCACAGACTATTTAAGAAAAAGGAAGTGTTAACTTGGCTTACTTGGATTTGACAATTATTTCTTTATGATGCCCCTTCTCCAAAATGAGCTGAAACTTTCAAACTTTTCTTGGAATATTCTGTCTGCTTCTATGTCACTGGCATGTTTCCTGCCAGCAGTGCATCAGTCTGGTACGTTGATGTAACTGCAAAGTCTATGACTTGAGACCTTTCTATAACTATACCTCTCTCTCTCTGGCCTCTGCTTACATATCTCCAGTGATGGGAAGCTCACCACCACATGGTAAAACCCAACCCATCTTTGGATAGTGCTTTAAGAAAGTACTTTATTATACTGACCTGACATTTATCATCTTATAGCTTCCATTATCTGTTAGTAGTTCTGAAAAGAGTCCTTAGAGCCACCTAAGCATTTTGAAGCTCTTCCTAACCCTCTTTATGCAATTCTAGGCCACTCTATCATGCTTGAGTTTGGTCATAGATATTTTTTTCTATGCATAATCCCCAGAGAAACCCAAACTTGTTTAAGAGTCCACTTTGCAGCCATATTCCTTCCCCAAGTTTCTCCTTCCTTTTTTTCTCCTTGGGGATCATTTTGACAACCACACAGCTCTGTCACAAAAAGATTAAGAACAAAAATTCAGGTGCCAAGTTGCCAGGTTTAAATCCCACTGCTAGCCATGGGACCTTGGACCAGTAACTTACTCTCTCCATGCTTTGGTTTCTTCATCTGTAAAATAGGGAAAATAATCATACCTAGCTCATAGGACAGCAGAGATCATTAAATGTGTTAAAATATGCCAAGTGTGCCTAGAACAAGTGAGTGGTACTTTGACATTCAGTAAATATTTTTAGCTATACTTTTCATATTATTATTCCTAAAAGCCGAAATGGAGCCCTGGGCCTCTGCTTAATCCCAACACTGTGTTTCCTGGTAAGGTGGTGGTGCACTGCCATCCAAGCCAGCCTCCCCATGCCTGACCCAGACAGTACAGCAGGCTGTGAGAGAGAGGAGGTCCATCTGTCTATGGAAGGCCCCTTGGTCATTCCATGGACCGTCTAGATTGCAGGCTAGACTGGGAGTGGAAACAACATGCTCTGGAAACCCACAGGTATTGCAGAAAACCAGCTGCCTTCTGCCAGAGTGGCAGTCCAGAGTCTTTGTTTCCACTCCCCACCTCCAATTCTGAAGCAATATTTGAGCCATAGAAGTTGGCCCTGGAATGGATCTAAATCCCCTCAGACTCTGTGGCCCAGAGAGGCAAAGTCATCCACCCAAAGGCAGCTCAGCATGCAGTGGCCTATCTGGTGCTGGAATTCTGATGACCTGACTGACAACCAGGTCTCTTTCCATCCAGTCCTACAGTGTCCTTGTAGGAGCAGATGTGGTGACTGGAACAGAGGACTGTGGTTCTTAGATTGTCCCAGCACCAGAAAACATGGTGGGTTTTCCCCTGGCTGGAAACATTATGATTTCTCATGACCATAATGGTAGTAGCATGAAGTAGGATGAGACACTGCTTACCCCAGCTCCCTACACAGTATTGCTGCTCTCCACTCAGGGGTGTACTCACCCTTCCACCACTAGAGGGTTTAGAAGACATGCTCTTGGGGTAGAGGAAGATGTCCAGGAAACACAAGGTCAATGCCACCCCTCACCCCAGGCCTTTCAGTATCTGTCTCTAGGAGTCCTGCTGGTGGGGGCCCTCAGCCCGGCTCCCAGCCTTTGGGTCCAGCACAGGAGGGCCAGGATCCTGGAAGCAGGAAGTTAAGCTGCCCTTAACTTGCTGGGTGACCTTGGCTTTCTGATCTATACACGAGAGTTGCACCTGTTAATCTCCACAGTCAGAGTGGAGTCTTTATTTGATCAGCATTCTTTAAGCATCTTCTCTGAGGCTGGTGCTGTTTGGGGGTGCTGGGGTGACCAAGAAGACCAAATGAGAACCCATCCCCAGGAGATCCCAGACTAGTGTGAATGACAAAAACCAAGCACAGGTCTTGTGAGAAGAGCCCTTTAGAGTCCCAGCTTTGTTGCCAACTAACCATGTGGCCGTGGATCAGGGACTTCTCCTGGGGATGATCACTTTCCTTAATTCTGTGAGGTGGGTTAAAGGTTGCCTGTGTGTGTGTGTGTGTGTGTGTGTGTGTGTGTGTGCAGTGCCTGTAGGTATCAGCTAGACATCCCTAGCTGAGGATGAACATTTAACCAGCAATGATATTGTTGTTCCTGCGTTGGGCCAGGTTCACCTCCCTTCGCTGGTTTCCCCGGAAGGCCAGAAAGATCTAGCTAGAGTGGAGAAGGAAGAAGAAAGGAGAGGGGAGCTGGAGGAAGACGCTCCTACCTCCCAGAGAGGCGAGCCAGCGAGGATCAAAATCTTCGAAGGAGGGTAAGAATCACATTTGGTTTTCATGGTCTGCTTCCCGCCGAATCAGGGCCAGTGCCCATCTGTGTTCACAGGCGGCTAGCAGTGCAGTTGGCAGGGCGGGTGCCCTGTGGCCCCGCCCTGGCAGTGTCTTTCTGCAGACACCACCTTCGTGGGACTCTCAGCCCCTCTGTTTAAGAGCACCGGGGGCTCCTTGGTGGGATGGGTGATGATGAATATTTGTTGAGGACCTAGAGGGGTCTGGGTCTCTTTCCAGCCCTTTATTTCCTCAGATCCTAGCCGGGTTTCTAGTCCCTGCATTGGGTTGATGGTGAGTCTCCCAGCAAATGCTGACTACCATTTCCCTTGGCGTATATTCCCAAAAAGTCACTTCTGCCATGCCAAAGGCCATCTTGGCATGCCTGGGTTCCTACAGGGCACTTGGGCTCTGCTGACTAGGCTGTTTGCAGGGCTGAGCACACCCTGCAGGCACCAGCTGTTTACACTGGTCCCTGTTCTGACTGGCTGGGGCCCAGAGCTCTTTGGTTGTGAATATTTTGAATGTTGTTTCTAGTTATTCACCTGTGATGCTTGCCTCTGGGAATCCAAAGGTCTAGATATCTCAGAACTCACAACTGTGGGGACCCTCTGGGCTCTGGAAGGGTGCCTTGTTTCAGATGTGCTTTGTGGAAGTTTTGTGCCAGCTGTGTTCTGTGTGGCCACGTGTTTGCTCCCTGGGATTTGGGTGTCTGTGAGCAGGTCCTGTGGCGTCTGTCTCAGGGTCCTGTGTCTGTGTCACTGGTGTGACCGGGGTGGTCCAGTCCTGCCTAGTCCTGAAGGACAATGACTAGGAGAAAAAAGTACCTCATAAGGAGAACAGTCCCCAGGAGCCACGGCCAACACAGGCTGTCGCTGGGGGCCTCCTATTCTCCACACCTGCAAGTGCCTGACTCACAGGGTCAAAAGCAGGGGAAGGGGCCAGAAGTCCTCCCTAAGGTTGGGGGACAGCAGAGACTGCCACGCTCCCCACAGCCACTAGTTGGCATCCTCGGACGCCACTGACTGGCAGGGCCTCTTGGGAGAAGGGTGTTTGGAAACATGGGGAGCAGGGATTTCACAACGGTGGGGAGGGGGTTGAGGGTGGAAAACGTCCCTGAAACACGCTGCTTAAAATACTAGTAGCGGCTCCATTGGGAAACACGGGACCAAAGGTCTTTCAAACACCAACCCCCTTTTCTTTTGGGGCCCGGACATTTCCTCTCCTGCTGTTTGGTTAGAGCGCCCTCGTGTGTCTCTGTGTCCTCATGCCACTGGGTCCTTCAGAGGCCACGAGGGCTTGATCCCAGGATTGCCGCCTGCTCACTATGCCTGCTCTTCCTGCCCCTGCTTCAGAGACTGTGTTGGGGCTCTGAGGGGGGCTGAGAGTTTGCTGCTGTCCGAGGAGCTTCCCCAGCAGCATTCTGTGTGCACAAGAGGTGTGCTTCTGCCCTGAGAGCAGGCGCCTCCAGACTGGGGCCCAGTTCAATAAGACCATCTCCTCCCACCCTCGCTCCCTGGGAAGCCCCAGCCTCCAGAAAGGCAGCTGGCCAGAGCCTCCCCATGTCCAGCTACTTACTGGACGTCTGTGCTACGCGGTCTGCCTACACATGCAATTTGTTATGTTTCCTCAGCAATGTTTTTGAGGCATAGCCATGTTGATTCATGTATATCTGGTTCCTCGTGATGAATCAGTTGAGCTGAAAGGGGAGAGATCACCCCCAAGTCCTCTCCTCCTCTTTCTGCAGCCCAGACACCAGTCTCCACTCCTCCTCACTGTCCCTTCCAGATGATCACTTAGTCCCACCTGCTGTGTTTCAGAGTCTCCTCTGATGAGGTCTGTCATCCCTGCCCCTGAGCACTTACCTCTGTTCCACCCCATCCCCATCTCTCAACACTCAGTTTCCTTGTCTATAAGGGTTATGAGAGCATGTCTTGCAGAATTTTCAAAGGACCCTGTGAGGTCCTAGGTAAAGGTGCTCATCAAGCAGGCATGGATGCATTTTCCCACTAGTATATCCAGCCCCTTTACTCCCTCCAGGTAATCTCACTCTGTTCCACCAGCTATGGAAAATATTCTCGTTCTTTTAAATCGTCTTCTTTTAACCTGTCACATACAGTTTGAGCACATAGGGGGTTTACATAGTGTCACCAGTAAGGTCCTTTTCTCCCTCCATCTGGCTGTCCCATCTGGGTTCCTGCCGTGGCTCCCCCCATCCCTTCTGGTGATCCCTCTATATTCATGGCTCTCTCAGGAAGGGCGTTTGTATTTTTTACATAACTGGGGGCATCTCTGGCATTTCATGGATGGACCCAGGGATGTAGACCATCCATTCAACCAGCCATGCAACCCTTGTCCCCCCAGATTTCCAAGGTTGCCCCCCACCCAGAAACACTGACTAGATATTTCTGGCTGTTCAGGAACAGATCCATCTGCAGGCATGCTAGGGTTTTGCCTTAGACTCAGCTCTTCTTGTTTATTTATTTTTATTTATTTATTTAAACACAATGAATGTCCGTGTTTCACTCCAGTACACCTTTGAGAAGTATCTGTAGTGAACTGGGTTCTCTGAATCCACTACAAGATCAGCCTTTTGGAGGCTGGAGTGGAAGAGAGCTCCCTGGAGTGGGTGGAGGCAGGCCAGGAAGGTTGGGTGAGACTCTAACAACTGCTGACCAGCCTACTGGTCAGCAGCCCTGGTGTTTTGGCAGCTCAGGGTTCTGGTCAAGAGACCCATTTCTTCTTCTTGCCATAAGTGTTCTCCTTGCTGATGTTATCCATTTCCTTGGCCTCAGCTCATCTCTGTGTCAAGGTCACTACATCTAGGTCCCTAGCTAGGAGCTCACCTCTGAAGTGTGAACTTTTTATTATTATTATTGTTATTATTATTATTTGAGTTGGGGTCTCACTCTGTCACCCAGACTGTAATGCAGTGGCACGATCATGGCTCACTCCAGACTTAACCTTCTGAGCTCAGGCAATCCTTCTGCCTCAGCCTCCCAAGTAGCTGGATCTACAGGCACATGCCACCACACCCAGCTAATTTCGGGGTTTTTTTGTTTGTTTTTTTTTTTTGTAGAGACAAGGTCTCTCTATGTTGTCTAAGCTGTTTTTGAACTCCTGGGTTCAAGCAACTCTCCCATCTCAGCCTCTACCTCAGCCTCTGAGAGTGCTGGGATTACAAACCCAGCCTAGACATTGGTTTTGATGCTTCCTGGGCATCTTTGTCTGGGAGACCCATGGCCCCTCAAACTCAGCATATGCCAGCCAAGCCCTCCACTTCCCCTGGCAGCATCTCCTTTGCATTCAGGTCACAGATGACCCACCCAGACCTTCACACTCAGAACCTCAGTGCTATCTTGGATGCCCTCTCCTCACTCTTCCAACTGGTCCCCAAATTCTAGTGTCTGTATGAAGTAGTCAGTGGCTCGGAGGGGTCTCTCTTTACTCCCTCTGCCACTGCTCTGGCTGCCCTCTCTCTAGCCCTCCAACGTTGGTGCCATTGCATGTCTTTAAACATGGTTCTGCCTGTGTCATGCCTCCACTCCAGAGCCTTCTGTGGCTGCCTCACCTGCAGGAGCCAGTTTAAACAGCCTATCAGTCCTGGCCCCACAGTCTGACCACTCCTGTTTTCTTTTACCCTCTGCTGTCTGCTGGGCCCTGCCCATTACCAGATCCTGCCCAGCCTCCTCCAACGAGCCTCCTAGTCCCCTCCACACTCTGGAGCTCTTTGTGTTACTTCTGTCATAGTACTGGTGCTCAAATTCATCCCCATCTGCCCTCTGGTCCCTTCTTGACTCAGGTCTTTGGGTAATGCTACACTCACACTATGTGCCCATTCCTATTTATTACCCTAGTCTCCTGGCACACAGCCTCCTCTGCATTCCCCATCACTTCCGCATCTGAACAGAGCCTGCATTTTCCAGGCAGCCCTCTGGGAGTGCCCCTCAGGAATGCACTGGCTCTCTCACTCAGCACCCATGCATTTGCCTTGGTGGTGGAGAAGGACTCTTTTGTCAAGCAGGGTTGTTTTCACACACACAAAGTTATATTGTTCCTTGAGGGTAATGACTATATTGTCCTAACTCAAGTTCACTTGTTACAAGGGAAGCTGGGAACTCAGCCCAGTGGATTGTCACGGAAAAGGGGGAGATTGGAGCTGATAGGAACTACCTGGCTGCCGAGACTGATGTCCAAGTCCAGTCACGGGTGGGTTGTCGGGTCTTAGGTCCAAATGAGATCCCAGGAGGCCAGATCCAACTGAGGTGGGGGACTCAGAAAGATGGTCACACACAGGGCAAGGGCTGGCTCGGGTTCAGCAGGACAGCCTAGCCAAAGTGTGAAAGGAGGACAGGGCAGTAGAGCAGAAACCAAGTTGCTAGTTGGGCCAGTGCAGATGGGATAGGGTGACTCATGGGCCTGGCTGCCCCCCAGCCATCAGGCCTTGAGCAGAGGCAGCCCCTGCCAGACCCTGTTTGCTATAGATGCAGCTGCTGCACCTCCTCTGGGAGGGTATTTTCTCCCATCCCTCCCACCGACCCTGTGCCTTGCTCCAGCCAATCAGGTGAGCATATCCAGCTTAAGTCGCCACCTTAAAAACACACCTTTGGTCAAAGGGCCCTGTGGCCAGATTTTTCCCTTTTCTTTAAGAAAAAAACTCCATAAGGAGTTGACTGTGGTGCTCACCTTCCTCCCATCTGCTCTCAAGCCCACTCCAGCTGGGCCTCTGGACTCCTCACACTTCAGAAGCTGCTCTTAGCAGAGACAACATTGACCTCCACCTTGCAGAAGTCAGTGGCGGCCCTCATTCTTTCCTAATCTGCCAGCAGTATTTGATGCAGTTCATCCTTGCAGGGCTTGGCCCACTCTTTCTCGATCCTCCTCTGCCATGGCCAGCTGCACCATCTTCGGTGGTTCCTATCAGCTCCTGATAAACAGCAGGGCCCCGCGTGGCCAGGTCCTGGCTCCCTCTCTTCCTCTAAACTCA